AGTGTACATCGTCTGTTCTAGCCAGACTTGCAAGGTAGAATTCAGAACATGATAGTGGGGAGTGGAGGAACCATTTAGGAACTAGAGGAAAGTTCTATTTTTCATTGTTGCTACATTGCACCCTGTCTGGCTCGTCTCCTCCCTGAGATTCCTCTGCAAGGGGATGTTCAGTGGCCTACAAATGGGCTTTGGGTCTCCACTCCTCACTGCCCCCCTCATTCACTATGGTAAGATTTTTTGTTCTGATGATGCCTGCTACCTGATCCCTTGAACACCTTGTGATCACACAGGCTGGTGTGCTTCTTCCATGTGAGCTTTGTTGCTTCTGAGCTAGATGACACTTGTTTACCTTGAAGCCTTTAAGACCCCAGACATTATATCTTTTGATAGGCAGGCACCATCAGCTTTGTAAGAGACATTTTAATCAAATTTTATTCTCTTCTAACACATGCATATTGTACAGAACAAGGAAATATTTCTTTTTTTTTAATAAGGAAATATTTCTAAAAATATTTTTAAAGTGAAAGATGAAAATTTCCAAATTATTCACTTGGCAATATTGCACGTCTCATGTAAGAAAGAAATCTGTTTATAGAAGAACAAACCAGAATGCTCTTTAGAAGCAAATAAGTGACACTTCATCACACATACATTGGACAAAACCTCAGGAGGGATCAGTCCTTGGAGGAAAACATCATGTTTGGTAAAGTTAGGGTCAATGAAGAAGAAGTCCTCCAAAGAGATAGATGGCATAGTTGCTGTAATAATAAAAACAGTGTCCAGTCAATCCTGATTCATCGTGAGCCATCGACCCATCTGAGTAGAAGTGCCTCCCCTTGGTCCTAAGGCTATAAATCTTTGTGGAGCTGAAAGCCTCCCCTTTTATTCCCACAACAACTGTTTGGTCAAATTGCCGACCGCATGCTTAGCAGAACAGGTAACCCACAGGTAACCCACATGAGACCGGCAATGCAACTTCATGCATTGCCATGATGAGTGATGGTGCCGGACTTTTCCTCCTGGTGTATGCAAGGTCGCCATGAGTTGCAACTGACTTGATGGAACATAATGGTACATACCTCATGGAAGAGGCACTAACCAACACATGACCTTCCAGTATATTGCCTTAAACTCCCAGGAATGTTCGCTACTATGACATATCTGATTCTTAGTCCAGAAAGGATGCCTGTTCAGAGAAAATTGCCATGTAAAGTTAAGGGAACAGTAGCTAAAATTTTCTGTATTGTGCACTTTAGAGAAAAGTAGGTCACTTAGAGAGGCTCTAGTTCAGAGACTGCCAGGTAGGGTTAGCATCTTTTCTGAGGCTGCCTCATATTCATATAAAAAGGTAAATATTCAACACTTTAAAATGTTTTGATGTGGACAAATAACTATGGTTCTTTCTAAGCGAGAGTTGAATCAAACAAAGCTACACTGATTTCTGTGGATCACGGGCAATCTTGCTTTTGTCTGTTCCTTTCTCCCCTCAGACCACTGTAATTATATTTTATGGCTGCATTGGTAAAAAGACTAATAATCCAAGGTGGTTATGTTTATTATTATTAATTGTAAAGTACACTAAAACAGCTCTTAAAATATGGTTGGAACTGCTGTCACTGTCTGGAACAGGAAATTAGAACAAAGCACCCAAATATCACAATAAGGTCAAATTTTGCTATCAAATATTCACTTCAAAAGCTCTGTGAATAAGCTGCTTTGACAATTTGATTGTCTTTAAAGATTAAACATCATTTTGCAACTGAAGGGAGAAGTGTGTGATCTGCGACTACAAATCAAAACTGACGTGGAATTCTTTTCCTTCTCTCTCCTCATCCAACCTGTACAAAGCAAAGATCAGGGTTATGACCTACCCTCACATCTAGAAGAATG